TTCTTCTCTGATTGCTGTGACTAAAGCTTCCAAAACTATGTTGAATAATAGTGGTTTTGTGGACATCCTTGTCTTGTTCCTGATTTTAGAGAAAATGGTTTCAGTTTTTCACCATTGAGAATGATGTTGGCTTGTCATATATGGCCTTTATTATGTTGAGGTAAGTTCCCTCTATGTCTACTTTCTGGAGGGCTGTTATCGTAAATTTTATCAAAAGCGTTTTCTGCATTTATTGAGTTTGTCATAAGGTTTTTATCTTTCAGTTTGTTAATATGGTGTATCACATTGATTGGTTTGCATATATTGAAGAAACCTTGCATTCCTGGGGTAAAGCCCACTTGATCATGGTGTACGATCGTTTTAGTGTGTTGTTGGATTCTGTTTGCTAGTATTTTGTTGAGGATTTTTGCACCTTTGTTCATCAGTGATATTGGCCTGTAGTTTTCTTTCTTTGTGACGTCTTTGTCTGGTTTTGGTATCAGGGTGATGGTGGCCTCGTAGAATGAGTTTGGGAGTGTTCCTCCCTCTGCTGTATTTTGGAAGAGTTTGAGAAGGATGGGCGTTAGCTCTTCTCTAAATGTTTGGTAGAATTCGCCTGTGAAGCCATCTGGTCCTGGGCTTTTGTTTGTTGGAAGATTTTTAATCACAGTTTCAATTTCAGTGCTTGTGATGATCTGTTCCTATTTTCTGTTTCGTCCTGGGGGTCAGTCTTGGAAGGTTGTGCGTTTCTAAGAATTTGTCTGTTTCTTCCGGGTTGTCCATTTTATTGGCATATAGTGTTGCTTGTAGTGATCCCTCCAGATCCTTTGTATTTCTAGAGGGTCAGTTGTTACTTCTCCTTTTTCATTTCTAATTCTATTGATTTGAGTCCTCTCCCTTTTTTTCTTGATGAGTCTGGCTAATGGTTTATCAATTTTGTTTATCTTCTCAAAGAACCAGCTTTTAGTTTTATTGATCTTTGCTATCATTTCCTTCATTTCTTTTTCATTTATTTCTGAGCTGATCTTTATGATTTCTTTCCCTCTGCTAACTTTGGGGGTTTTTTGTTCTTCTTTCTCTAATTGATTTAGGTGTAAGGTTAGGTTGTTTATTTGAGATTTTTCTTGTTTCTTGAGCTAGGATTGTATTGGTATAAACTTCCCTCTTAGAACTGCTTTTGCTGCATCGCATAGGTTTTGGGTTGTCATGTTTTCATTGTCATTTGTCTCTAGGTATTTTTTGATTTCCTCCTTGATTTCTTCAGTGACCTCTTGGTTATTTAGTAACGTATTGTTTAGCCTCCATATGTTTGTATTTTTAACATTTTTTTCCTGTAATTGATATCTAGTCTCATAGCATTGTGGTTAGAAAAGCCACTTGATATGATTTCAGTTTTCTTAAATTTACCAAGACTTCATTTGTGACCCAAGATATGATCTGTCCTGGTGAATGTTCCATGAGCACTTGAGAAGAAAGTGTATTCTGTTGTTTTTGGGTGGAATGTCCTACAAATGTCAGTTTAGTCCATCTTGTTTAATGGGTCATTTAAAGCTTGTGTTTCCTTATTTATTTTCATTTTGGATGACCTGTCCATTGGTGAAAGTGGGGCGTTAAAGTCCCTTGCTATGACTGTTACTGTCGATTTCCTCTTTTATGGCTGTTAGCATTTGCCTTCTGTATTGAGGTGCTCCTATGTTGGGTGCATAAATATTTACAATTGTTACATTTTCATCTTGGATCGATCCCTTGATCATTGTGTGGTGTCCTACTTTGTCTCTTCTAATAGTCTTTATTTTGAAGTCTACTTTGTCTGATATGAGAATTGCTACTCCAGCTTTCTTTTGATTTCCATTTGCATGGAATATCTTTTTCCATCCCTTCAGTTTCAGCCTGTATGTGTCTCTAGGTCTGAAGTGGGTCTCTTGTAGACAGCATATCTATGGGTCTTGTTTTTGTATCCATTCAGCCGGTCTGTGTCTTTTGGTTGGAGCATTTAATCCATTTACATGTAAGGGAATTATCAATATGTATGTTCCTATTCCCAGTTTCTTAATTGTTTTGGGTTTGTTATTGTAAGTCTTTTCCTTCTCTTGTGTTTCCTGCAAGGAGGAGTTTCTTTAGCATTTGTGGTAAAGCTGGTTTGCTGGTGCTGAATTCTCTTAGCTTTTGCTTGTCTGTAAAGGTTTTAATTTCTCTGTCGAATCTGAATGAGATCCTTGCTGGGTAATCTTGATTGTGGGTTTTTCTCTTTCATCACTTTAAGTATGTCCTGCCGCTCCCTTCTGGCTTGCAGAGCTTCTGCTGAAAGATCAGCTGTTAACCTTATGGGGATTCCCTTGTGTGTTATTTGTTGCTTTTCACTTGCTGCTTTTAATATTTTTCCTTTGTATTTAATTTTTGAGCGGTTGTTTTTCCCTTGCTGCTTTTAATATGCTTTCTTTGTATTTAGTTTTTGACAGTTTGATTAATATGTGTCTTGGCGTGGTTCTCCTTGGATTTATCCTGTATGGGACTCTCTGCACGTCTTGAACTTGATTCACTGTGTCCTTTCCCATATTAGGGAAGTTTTCAACTGTAATCTCCTCAAATATTTTCTCAGTCCCTTTCTTTTTCTCTTCTTCTTCTGGAACCCCTGTAATTCGAATGTTGGTGAGTTTAATGCTGTCCCAGAGGTCTCTGAGACTGTCCTCAGTTCTTTTCATTCTTTTTTCTTTATTCTGCTCTGCAGTAGTTCTTTCCACTGTTTTATCTTCCAGGTCACTTACCCGTTCTTCTGCCTCAGTTATTCTGCTATTGATTCCTTCTAGAGAATTTTTAATTTCATTTATTGTGTTGTTCATCACTGTTTGTTTGCTCCTTTGTTCTTCTAGGTCCTCGTTAAACCTTTCTTGTATTTTCTCCATTCTATTTCCAAGATTTTGGATCATCTTTACTATAATTACTCTGAATTCTTTTTCAGGTAGACTGTGGATTTCCTCTTCATTTGTTTGGTTTGGTGGATTTTTACCTTGCTCCTTCATCTGTGTATTGCTCTGGCTTCCCATTTTGCTTAACCTAGTGTTTGGGGTCTCCTTTTCACAGGCTGCAGGTTCATAGTTCCTGTTGTTTTTGGTGTCTGAGCCCCAGTGGATAAGGTTGGTTCAGTGGCTTGTGTAGGCTTCCTGGTTGAGGGGACTGGTGTCTGTCTTCTGGTGGGTGGGCCTGGATCATGTCTTTCTGGTGGGCAGGGCTGCATCCGGTGGTGTGTTTTGGGATGTCTGTGAACTTATGATTTTAGGCAGCCTCTGTGCTAATGGATGGGTTTGTGTTCCTGTCTTGCTAGTTGTTTGGCATAGGGCGTCCAGCACTGGCGCTTGCTGGTCCTTGGGTGGAGCTGGGTCTTAGCGCTGAGATGGAGATCTCTGGGAGAGCTCTCACCGAGTGATATTCCATGGGGCTGGGAGGTCTTTGGTGGTCCAATTTCCTGACCTTGGCTCTCCCACCTCTGAGGCTCAGGCCAAAGCACCATGGCTCTGTCAGCCACACGGCAGATGAGTGCTTTATTACCGAAGATATTAAAGCACAGGAACCAACAGCCGGATGAAGAGATTCATAGGGTGAGGTCGAGAACAAAGAAACGTCAGTCCTCTTGGAGTCTGGAGCCCAGCATGGTCGCACGTAGTGGCTTTCTTCTTCAGCGCCCTGGAGACTCTCTGAAACCCCTCCTTCTGGATTTTAATGGTGGCTTCACTACATGGTCATGGTTGATTAAATCCTTAGGCATCGGTGATTAATTCCACCTCCAGAACCTTTCTTCTCCTTCTGGGTAATCGGGGAGGGGGGGGGGTCCCATATATCTTTTTTCACTTGAAATCTCTTAGAGAAACATTAGGGCATACTAGGAAACCAGTGTTGCTGCACATCCTTCCGGCTCTCTCATCCGGCTTCTCTGATATCCTAGAGAAAAACCTATAAGCGTGTCACCTGGCCCTCTCCGTGAATGAAGCAAGGAAGGAATAAGTGAATGGAAGAGAGAAATAATAAGCCAAGTCTGTGATGGAGGGCACACCTGCTTTGGCAAATTTGTCTAAAGTCTAAGCAGATGTTAGGTCTCAGGACAGGCACTGGCCAGTGTTGGGTAATGAAGGACTTGAGCAGGTCATGTAAGTGGCTTCAGCACCGGGAAATTTTATGTGATGCCAAGGAAAGCACTGAGCCTGGTTGGACCGGCACTGTGGTTGGGAGCCGTTTCAAATCCTGGGTCACCTGCCACCTGATCCCCCTGGTTGCTCAGCTGGTCAGTGAAAATTAAAATGGTACTGACCTCACAGGCCGTGTGTGAGAGTGAAATGAGATAAAAGTGCCGTGAACTCGGCAGAGCGCCTGGTCTGTTGTGGTAGTGATGATGATGGGATGATGGTCCTGCTGATGACAATGATGATGATGATGTCATGGGAGGGGCCTAAGCGTAGAAGTCAGGCGCCTCTGTGCACCTCTCAGCACCTGTGTTTGCTATGAACCATCATGATTCCCAAACCTGTGTGGGCTGCAGCCCCTCCCCACCTTTGAACTTGGAACGTTGCTTGGGAAATTAGATGAGATAATACAGAGGAACGGTCCATCAGTGCCTGGCATGGAAAAGGCATTCAATGAATGTGCATTGTTATTTTTAATTCCACTTTTGCAGTGTTAATGAATTTCCTTTTTCTATTTAGTTTTAACAGTCTAGGGGTATTCAGTTAATTTTCTTAAAAGTAAAGCCTTCCACTAGCACAGCGTTACTCTGTTTCTTTATGTGCCTGATGCTTGCCTATGTCAGTGTACTGTTCCTAGCTCCTCTGTTAAAGGAAGGAATGACTCGGGGGGAAATTAGGGCAGATGGACTGGAAGGGGATTGTCAGTGTGTGATTAAATTCTATTAAACATGAGCTTACACCTGGCAGGCGACAATGGGCCATTAAGTGCACTGTGTCCCTGGAAGCAGCGGTAACCCAGGGATGCCCCAGAGCCGTCTCAGCTGTGCATTTTGCTGTCTCCAACAGGGTAAAGGTGATGAAAGGCATGAACATCATTGGGGTGAGAGCCAGCAGCCCTTCTGTGTGGGAGGTTAAGAAGAGCACGGATTACGCTGGAAAGTACACACCAGCTGTCATCGTTTGTCAGAAGAAATCAGCTGGCTCGGAAAACAGGTGAGTCCCAGTGGCCTGCCATATATTCAGATTAGCTGCAACCATGGCCTCCTTTTTCCCAAATTTGCTGACAGCCACTTTCACCGCAGTTTGCACTTGGGGGAGCGTCGTCTGTTTTATTAGTGCTTCCAGGTGAGATGGATAGAATCCTTTACTTGGAAAAAGGTGGGCTGTTATTCACAGTGGACCTACTTACAATCCCAGCACAGTTCCCGGTCACCTGCAGGGACTACTCCATGCAAATGGAATTTATCTCGAAATGATGTTCCACTGCAACACGGCCTCTTTCTATTCCAGATGATTAGGCAAAACGAAAAGGGCAGTTCTGATAAAATGGCCCATTTTGCAAGTGTTTCAGACAACAGTTTGTTGTAAAACAAAACACCCAGAGCTTATAGATCTCGTGGCACACAAAGTTGCCTTTCACATTTGCCGTTTCGATTTAAATATAATGCGTGGATTGCATTTTGTGCTGGGATTTTCTGATGGGCCTGTGAATGATCTGCTGTGGAATTATAGGGAATTGTGACTCTGTCTCTGATACCCACCAAGTTAGAAACATTCTCTTCACAGCTGGGCAGAGACTTGGAAACTCAGTGGTTCTTGATTTATTTCTGTTTCCCGAAACCTCATTTGTGGCTCCAGAATATTTCTGATCTGGTTTTTGCCACTTTTAGGTTGGTTGATTTTTGCCCTCTGTGTTGCTGGCAATTGAAATAATTATGAATGGATCAATCCTAGGTATGTAGCATTATTTCAGGAGTCAGCTTTTTGAACTTTATAGCTCAATGTTTGGAAAATATTTATTTTCCATTATTTATTCTAATATAGAGGTCATGAATCTCAGCTGATGGCTATTCTGCTTTTTGGGGGTTTATTTCCAAAGAGCATTGGATGCCAGTTTGGGGGTGGTGTGATGTGGATTTCGCTCTGTGCTCCTCTGTTTCGTGTGGGTGCTCTGGGATTCGGGTTATCAACCGTCAAGCTCTGGCCTGTGACTTTGCTTTTGTGAGCAGTGTTTCAAGATGTTTTTCTTGAAGATTTGCTTGTAGAGCAGATGAGAGGGGAAAAGAAGTCGTCTGTATCTGAATTCTGCCCCAAACGTTTACATAGTAATGTTGTGCCACACGGCGTACCTTCATGAGCTTACAAATAAGCTCACTTCCAAAGGTGTCTGTGCCAGTGATATGATTTGGGAAATGAGATGCCACCTCCATGAAAGGTTTCCTTTGTGTTGCGAAGTTAGCAGAAATTAGGAAGGATAGATAGATAGGCAGATAGGTAGGTAGCTCGGTAGATAGATAATGATAGATAGGTAGACGAGATGGATATAGATAGATAGATGATAGATAGATAGATGATAGATGATAGGTGGATAGATATTTTACTCTTATTTACCAGAAAGAGTGGGGGGATTTGGGAGAGGAGTCTCAACCAATGTGCTGATTTTCCCTCGTTTCTTCTTGCTGTTTACTCTGCGGGTTAGTGGGAGTAGTAGTGATTGTAGTGTTAACATATGAAATGCAGAGAGATTTGAACCGTTTTGAAACATTTTATTAAATTTCTGGCTAAGTATTCATTCACTTCGTCTTGGGCATGGAGAAATAAGGAAACTTTCCAAGGGCAGCTCATCCCCATTAAGGTATAAAGTGTAAGCTGCCTTTTTATGGATCAAATAAGGCAGGCACTCCCAAGGGGGTTTAACACCTCCTTAAATGAAACAAAAAATCAACAACTCTGGAACATATCAGATCATACATATGTGTGGTCCTTGTCATTTTTTTCCCCCTTTTATCTGTATCTTCTTTAAGAAACAAATTCCCTGAATGGACTATCAACCCAGTCCTTCAAAGGTCTGGCATCAGCATGCCATTCACTGTGGAGAATATTCCTTATCCCTTTGTAGATGCTGAAGTCGGTTTTCTATTTCCTGCTGTGGGTCTAGATAATGGAAGGAGCATATGTACACACACAGACATACACAAACACACATATGTATGTCTATGTATGTAATATATGTGTACGTGTATATATAGAATACTATATGTATGTGTATATACAGTATGTTATGTGTCTTTGTAATACATCATGTATGTATACATAGTATATAGTATATGTATACATAGTTTGTGTATACAGAACATATATATGATATACGTGTTTAAATATGTGCCTATATACACATGTACATTTTTATGTGATTTATGTACTCACCTGTGTTATGATGATGCAGAGGTTTATTCTCTTTTTTTGGAATCCAGTTCTTACACTGCAGCCAGGAAGGCTTTGCTTAATGAGGAAGGTGTGGAATGCAAGCTCTTTTAGTTGGGGAACCATGTCGGTCTGGTTGGTAGCTCTTTGCAGTCCCTACAGCAGCATCTGGGACACATGAGGCTCTCCGTAAATATTTGTTTACTGATGTTCTAGAATTAGACTGTATCTCTGTTACTCTGTGTATAATGATGCAAATCTGTACGTACACGTATTGAATGGCCTCTGATATACCTGTTCAAAAAAGTAAGGTGCACAACAGCATCTATATTGATGCCCCGTCTGGGGAAAACCCAGAGAAGAATACTTTTTGAGCAAAGGGGCTAGTAGCTGTGATTTCTACTGGAGGCGCTGGCAAGTTGGGGGAGGGTGCTGAACGTAAATTACTTTTTACTGCAAGCCATTTGGACTCTGATTTGTGTTTTACTATGTGCATGTATTACCACTTAATATAATGTATACAGTTAAAATAGGCTTTTTTGAATGCGATATATTCATTTCTATGTTCAACCCTTATCCTCACTTCAAAATTGTTTATTTCGCTTCTGTCTTTATGGAATTAAATACAGAAGAATCATGCTCCACTCCTTGGGGTAGCGAACGGACCGGTAGAAGATCTGTTTCTCTTTTCTTTGAAGGATAATTGGAGAATGTATTATGGAGGGGATGTTTTCACATTAGTAGGTTTCGCTTCAGAAGCTGTTTTGCTTTATACATTCTTCCCACTCTCTTTGACTTTCAGTTATTCTTAAAAGTCATAATCAGATCATTGGGATGCAAAAAAGGGAGGCTTAATGAGCTCGAGAGTCATGGATTGTGTATTGCTAATAATTCACCATGGATTGTGAAGTTGCCTTAAGGAAGTTAAGTCCCTGTGACAGGTGTAATTTTATGGATTAAGGAGACACTTGTGCTAGTGAAGAACTCAACAGGAGTGAGTGAAGATTCTTATCTGAGTTGAAATACATCCTTTGTTTTTTGAAGAACTTTGGTTGTTTTTTTTTTTTTTTTTTTGCGGTACGCGGACCCCTCACCGTTGTGGCCTCTCCCGTTGCGGAGCACAGGCTCCGGACGCGCAGGCTCAGCGGCCATGATTCACGGGTCCAGCCGCTCCGCAGCATGTGGGATCCCCCCGGACCGGGGCACGAACCCGTGTCCCCTGCATCGGCAGGCGGACTCCCAACCGCTGCGCCACCAGGAAAGCCCAGAACTTTGGTTTTTGAAAGCCTTATCATTACAGTATTAATATCTGAATGTTACCCACAGCTGTCAGATCTGTTTTGACTAAGCATTGCCAGGAAATATTATGGATGCTCCATACATCAAATTCCATTTGACATTTTCTGAATCCTGCTCACTGTTCGAGCACTATGGAAACTTAGATAAATGTGTAACAAAAGTCATGTACTTTTTATTTCTTTGCTCTTCTCTGCACAGATGAGCGTTTTCCAGAGTTTGCCACAGTTGCTATTTAAATGATTTTAGGTGGTACAAAGAAATGGGGTCAAATAAACTTGAATGACAGAAACATATGTGCTTTCCAGTTCTCCAGCGAGACTACTGATTGAAGAGAAATTCTTCTCTTTTAGGGGCTAATATGTCTATAAAATCTCTATCCTTTGTTAATAGATTGTAGGCAAGCAAGAGTACATAGTTCAGTTTAATCCTTTTTCATAATTATCTGTTTATAATCCTTCATACTATACTGCTTTTCCATTTCTTTATAGGTAATTTTGTTACTGAGTTCAAGCTCGTACTGCACGCCACACGACAGACCAGTAAATTGACAGACGGGTTGTTGGGGAAAGGGATAGTGACTTTATTCGGAAAGCCAGCAGACTGAGGAGACAGTGGACTAGTGTCCCAAAGAACCATCTTAACCCGAGTTAGAATTCAGCCTTCTTTTATACTAAAAGGGGAGGGGTGTGGCTGGTTGCTGCACACTTCTTGGTGCTGGAATCCTTTGTTCTTGCAGCTGTCCATGTTTCTGTAAACCTTACACCCTGTTCTACAACTTTTTATCTCTATACGAATGGAAAAGTGTTACACCTTTAAAGGTCAGAGCCTTGAGAATGGGCTATCTTGTATATTTCAGGTTCCAGGCAAATTCTTAACTTGTAGCAAAAGCAATAGAATACAGAGGTTAAAGTAAAAGAAAGAGATACAGTATGGATTCAGATTTGGTTTTCCCCATTACAACATGTTTCATTTTAAAACAAATATAACTTAAGTAGTAACATGAGGTGCCATAAATAAAAAGTAATATTTAAAGTATACAGAGATAAGATTACAATCATGAATGTATGTTCAGAAAAATGTATGCTGGCATGATAAATCCATTTCATAATACGTTTGTTAGGATTAAGTTTGATTATTTAATAGGAGTGACTTAACAAAAAGAAAGTGACTTAAAGTAAAAGTTTATTTCTCTGTCACATAGAAGAAGCCCTGATGTAGGCAGACCATGGCTGGCATGGCAACTCCTCAGTACTGTCAGGGTCCCAGGCACCTATCTTTCTTTAGCACAATATTAATGCATGGCTTGTATCCTCATAGATTAATATGGCTGCTGGAGTGCCAGTCATCACATCTGCATTTCAGGCTAAAGAAAACTGACAGAAAAGAGCCTTCACCACTGGATCAGTTCCTTTTAAGGAACTTTTCTAGAAACTCATGCCAGCCCCCAATACTCTCCTGCCTCTCATTGGTCAGGACTTAATCACATGGCC